TTTCTAGCCTAAGTGGTGTATGACCCGAAGGCATCTTGAGGAACCAATAACACCAATTGAACCTGAGATTGAATAACTTTTTAGAAAAATGAGACATACTCAACGTACTCATCAAAATTTGTATAGACTAAAGAACCAAGGTGTTGGCCAAGTGGAGGATCATGCAGATCACAATGCCGAGGCAATTCTAAATGTTGGGAATGCTGCTAGGCCTAATGCTATTTGCAATAACTTAAATCCTATTTTGAACAATCTAAATCTTGGTATTACGGCACCCAAGATTCAGGAAGCCCACTTCAAGATCAAACTAATCATGTTCAATATTTTGAATTTAATAGTGCAGTTTGGGGGTATGCCTCATAAAGATGCTAGGTAACTCATTTGTAACTTCTTAGAGGTGTGTGATTCCTTCAGGCAATAAGGAGTGCATGAATATGTATTGAAGCTTAAGTTGTTTCCATATTCTTTGTATGAGCGAGCGAGGGCTTGGTTGAGTGGAGTTTCATCTGACTCGATGGAGTCTTGGTATGTTCTATGCAAAAGTTTTTTATTATGGTATAATCCGCCGAACATGAACACTCAACTTAGAAATGACATAGCATCTTTTTGTCAAGCTGATAACGAGTCTATGTATGATGGTTGAGACCGATATAAGGGATTGCTTCGTAAGTGTACAAATCATGGTTTCCGCGATTGTAATCAAGTCGTGATGTTTTATAATGGAGTCAATGCACCCACAAGGATTATGCTAGATGCCTTGGTAAATGGGACTTTACTAGAAAAATCACCTGAAGAGGCTTTTGATATTCTATATAGGATTTCAAGAAATGATTACCAATTCCCCTCTTCAAGGCTTAGAACTGGGAGAAAGACACTTAGAACCTATGAGTTAGATGCTAAAGACTCAATGTCCTCCAAACTTTCAGCTATCACAAGTATATTGAAGAACTTGAAATGTTCCAACGAGGTGAAAGAAGTGAATGCAGCTAGTTCAGCATGTATGTTCTACCACGACAATCACCATGAGAGTGAATGCCCAGAAAATCATGAGTCCATCATTTTTGTGGGAAATTTCAACTGAGGCAACAACTACCCCTACTCTAACACCTACAACCCATGATGATGTCAACATCCTAACTTTTCATTGGGAAATCAATGAGCCAACAATGCTAGTCACTCTACTCGGCAACAAAAAATCAATGAACCCCCAACCTATCAAACGAATATGTCATGGCATAATTCTAACAAGGGGAGCCATCTTTGTCAAATATAAATTCTTTGGAGTCCACTATGTAAGATTTTATAGCAGCTACCAGGACCATGCTAGCCATCATGCCACTACTATTAAGAATCAAGGTGTTTTACTTCAAATTCAAGGAGTTTTACTGTAAAGCCATAGCTTGTCTCTAAGAGATTTGGTGGGTTAGGTTGGTCAAATTGTCGCAGCATTACAAGAACGCTAACCAGAACTTCTGCCTAATGACACTGAGGTTACTAAATCTCATGGCAAGGAGGAATGCAGTGCACCCACTCTGAGGAATGACACTCAAATCAATTTACAATATAAGTTTGGGGGAAGAGGTCAGATGATTCTACCTCCACAACCGTGCAAGCTGACTCTGAGATACAACATGACGAAACCATTATGGAGAAAAAAAAGGTAAGGGTTTATCCAATGAGCCTACCGAGGGATAAAACAAAAATGCCATGGTAAATGTAGTTTTAACCCCATCAGTAGAAGAAATTAGACCCCCACCGCCTTTCCCGCAAAGATTGAAAAAACACAATGATAATATTGAATTCAAGAAGTTTGTTGACATTCTTAACCAGCTCTATATTAACGTCACTTGAAGCCATAGAACAAATGCCCACTTATGCTAAATTTCTAAAGGAAATTGTCACCAATAAAAGAAAAGTTGAGAAGTACGAGACAGTTACCAAGACAAAAGAATTTTGCTCAGTATTGAGCAAGATACAACCAAAGCAAAAAGATCCGGGTAGTTTTATTTTTCCATGTTCTATAGGAGACAACTATGTTGGGAATGTACTTTGTGACCTTGGCTCGAGTGTGAACTTAATGCCCAAGTCAATATTTTTGAAGTTTGGGATTAGAAAGGTAAAACCCATCTCGGTTATTTTACAACTAGCTGACCGCGTTGGGATACTCGAAGTAAACTCTGTCAAGCAAGTAAGATATAGAAGTTTAGACCATCCTAAAAGATAAAACTTGAGATTCCTAAGTGACCCCATCATTCATTCCCATAATAGCTTGTTATGTGAGGATTATCAAGTCATCTAATTTAATTCCCAAGTTATCAATTTGTTTTGCCTTAGAATTTTCATTTGACTGCATTTTAAACAATTATTTTTTCCACGACATTCTCATTTGCTACCCATTCACAATACCATTTCTACCCCACCTATACACATTTCACTTTGCCTCGGTATTACCATTTGTGCATACCATTATCTATGCTTAGATAAAGTAGTTTGTTGCTTTGACCTAACTAGTAATATTTTCTAATCCCTGCAGAGACGATACTTACTCACTCTATATTACTTGTTCGATTACGTATACTTACACATAATTTTTGCGTAAATTTATAAGCACTCACAGCGCGAACACTCACTAATCCCGAGAAATTTAGAAGAAAAATTAAACAGTTAGAGGGATTGGTTCAAGCGATGATAGTTGTTGAGGCCTCCACAAGAATTTAGATGCAAGAGAGTTCAACCTAGTTCTCGACTTGATCATAGGGTACCTGACTTTGTAAAATATGATGGAACTAGTTGTCCTTTGATCCATCTGAAGATGTTATGTAGAAAGATGGAATGATATTTGAATAACAATAATTTGTTGATTCATTACTTCCACGATAGTCTTGCTGGTCTTGTTGTGGTATGGTATAATAGGTTATGTAAAGAGCAAATCAAGTCATGGGTTGATTTGGCTAATGTCTTTCTAGAGCAATACAGATATATTAGGGACTTGGCTCCAAATCGTCAAGATTTCCAAAAAATGAAGATGGAAGCTACAAAAAACTTTAAAGAGTATGCATTGAGATGAAGAGACATGGTAGCTCAAGTTCAACCTCCTATGTTAAATGGAGAGATGTCATACATGTTTCATAATTCCCTTAAACAAATATTCTTTGATTTAATGCTTGTTAATTCAACAAATGACTTCTAAAATCTTGTGACAAGTGAGAAGTTAATAGAACATGTGTCAACAAAGGAAACTTGAAGGTCATCTCCAATGATCCAGCCAACCAATCACAATCACAAATGAAATAAGACAATTAGCTGCTCAAATCGGCCAAAGAAGATCCCTCGAATAAGAAAGGCTCTAGAGGTATTCTAAACACCCATATCAAATTTTCCCCCATATTTGATTAAAAGTCGATACCTTACTCCGAGACCGATGGAAGTAATGTCAAACCCTTATGTTCATAGCTATGATGAAAATAGTGTTTATGATTTTCACATAGGAGCACATGGGCATTCTACGGGGAACTGTGGTCCATTGATGAAAGAGATAGAAATGCTCGTCAATAATGGGGCGTTAACTCGAGAATTGGTCGAGCATTGGATGACTAACTAAAGTGGGGCATCAAAGTGGCTAGATAGAGCATTCCATTAAAGTAACTCCTCTAACTTTGGGTGGACAATAATGAGCAATTTGGGATTGTTATATGAATTAGTTACTCGTCCTCTGTGGAGATTAGTTGTACTCTGCATGAAGGCAATATGTTTTATTTGAACCTTTTTTCTATTTTTTTTGTTTTTATGACATTTTCAAAGTTCTAATTGAATAAACGTTACTTCTTTCAGACTATGAGCAATAAACCAATTTTTTTTTTTTTTTGAAGTTCAATGAATATAATGGATTATTCTTAAAGTCGTTGACAAATGGCAAGACTGAACCATTGAAAAATAATAACCCTAATTATGCTTCAGAGATTACACCCGAATGGTACACCCATCTTCTTGCAGGATTGAATAGTCTCCTCATGCGACAAGAGGTACACAGACAATGCATTCAGGTATGTATAGGAGTAGACAAAATGGGGCACCTTACATATAAGGCTGCAAAGCTGATTAGTTTCTACTTCTGTTGATGACGTTCTATGATAACCATAGTCTTTTCATATGGATGGTGGAGTAGATAAATTTAGTTTAAGTCAGTTGCTTGAAAATTGAGCTCTAAGGATGAAATTTTCTAACTTTCACTAACACCCAAACTATAACAAATTCTTCTTGATGAGCTTAAGAAATCTGAAAATCAAAAACTCAGGAAAATAAAGAAAGCCAATTTTAACTTTGTTGGGGGCACTTCGTTGAAAGTATTAAGTTGTTAATCTTCGGAGGGAATGTCTAAAACAGCTATGAAGGTAATGTCCGAGATTTATGAAGTAAGTTTCATTATAGTTGTCAAGTCGAAGACTTTCTGACACTTGAATCCTCTAACTAGGGGTATTCCGCTAAAGTAATGTGCTACATCAAGAGTCCTAACTTTATGAATAGGATTGCATTCAGATCATGACACTAGTCTCTATGTGTTGAGATGAATCTCCTAACAATATCAAAGTGAATACAAGAACACCAAACTTAACGAAGTATAATTTAAAGGAAGATAGTAAAGCCTAAAGTAAATGTGAATTGAAAAGAGTTTCAATGAAAGGTGGACTAAGGGAGTTGAGAAACATTCAAAAAGGCTAGGGATAAAATTGAACAATTGAATTTAAGGATAAAATTAGAAGATGCAAAAGTTTAGGGACTGATTAGAATGATATTCATAGTTTAGGGATGAAATTGAAATATTCAAAAGTTTAAGGACTAATTTAGAATGAGAGTCATAAATCTAGGATGAAACTAAAATGTTTGAAAATTTAAAGACTAATTTAAAATGAAGGTCATAGTTTAAGTACATATGCAAGTAACTCGGAATATTATTGAAAAAAGTAATACCCATTGTTGGGTTTGATATTCATAAGATCAGATCTCAAATCATATTGTTGTTTTACACTTTTTTGGGTGGAGTTCAATTAGCACAACAAAATCGGGAATCTTCAACTTTTCTTCCAACAAAAAAAATGCAGAATTTATAACATTTTTCCAAACATCATTAAACCATAGTAGCTATGCCATTGAGTCTCGGTCTTGTTCTCTCGGTTGAAATACCTTCCTCCATTTCTTTTCTCTTGTTGTTGTTGGACTGTGGTGATGGTGGTTGTTGTTGCTCTTCCTTTTCTTGTTTTTCTGGTTCTTGGTGATCCTTGATTTTGGTTTTAAACATACGGGGCCTAAGTTTACTTAAATCTGATAATCTTACAGGCTTCAACAAAAATTCTTCTGCACCTTCTTCTAAACATCTAAGAAAAATTATACCAACAAATAAGTTTCGAATTACAACACCAAATTCTCTTCTATCATCAATTTTTTAGTAAACTACGCATTTAATATCTAAACTATCAATTTTGGCCCGTTTAAGTACATAAACTTTCAATTTTTTCTAAATTCAACATTAAATTTTGAATATGATACTAAGATGAAACAAAAACTAAAGTTTTTACCTACAGATAATAAAATGAAATAAAAACTAAACTTTATATATGGTTTTGAAAAAATTGAAAATTTAAGTATTAAAACGGGTCTAAATTGATAGTTTAGATACTAAACACATAATTTAATTTATTTTTTTATATATTCTAAATCTAATTTTAATCTTAACTAGAAGAGGGAATGTGAGACTCTAAAGAAAGGAAGAGAATTGCTCATAATGGGTTTAGAACTCATAACCTAAAAGAATATGAGTAAACAAAGATGAACAACTTGACCAACCAATCAAATGTGCTTACTCTATTTTATCGTCATATTTACCAATATTTCTAGGGTAAAATATTTTTTTTCTAAATACTCTCAACTATTTGACAATAAATGTTCAACCTTCTTTAAACTTGTTACTGCTCGAACTCATGAACCTTAGAAACAACATTTTAACCACTGAAGAAAGTTGATTCACGGTAAAAACTTATTTAGTCACATATCATTAAAAAATTAAAGATTATGCGAACGTAACATTTTATTATTATTATCAATGCCGACATTATCTTATGATGACATGTTATCATTACTTTATTTCAACGGTTGATTACCAAAATAAAACCAAAACTTAATGTTAAATATAATTTTAAAAGAAATAATAGTTGAGTGACTAAGAAAGAAACTAATAATAGACTGATGACCAGATAGGTAATTTACCAATAATTCTTATCATTAGGTCATGTCTTTTTACATGTTGATCCTTGAAGGTACATTCTCAGATGACATGATGACTACTGGTATGTTTTTTAGAGATGAAGATTCCTGCAAAAAACCACAATAAAATATCCCTATAAATTCCAAGAGAATTTGGACAAATTTATCCAAGAAACTAATCTAAATCAAAGAGAGAAAAGGTAGACCATGTTAAATTGAACCAGATTTTATGGTAGACCATGTTAAATTGAATCGGATTTTCCCAATGTTCCAAGAAGGCTTTTTCACTGCTAGGACCTCCTATTGGCAACTTTTTTTCATTAAGATGTATCATACTTGTTGGGATAAACTATGCATTTAATATCCAAACTTTTAGTTTTAATCTGTTTTAGTATCTAAACTTTTAATTTTTTTTCAAAATAATATATAACGTTTAGTTTTGATTTCATTTTAGTACTTGCCATTAAAAATTTAATGCGTTTAATATATAAACTATCATTTTTGGTCTGTTTTAATTCCTAAACTTTCATTTTTATCAAAACTTAACGTTAACGGGTATTAAGATGAAACAAAAAAACTAAATTTTTAATTGTGAAAACTAAAATGAAATAAAAACTAAATGTTATGTATAATTTTAAAAAAATTGAAAGTTTAAGTACTAAAACTGATCAAAACTGATAGTTTAAGTATTAAACGTATAATTTACTCTTTGTATAAGGTTGAGTAAAATTTGATTTACTCAACTCATGCTAAAAATTTTAATTAGATCAATTACTCACTCCTAATTATTTGTATATTATAACCAGTCGAGATCTATTTACATTCATAATTCAATTTCAGTCTGCAATAGGGTCAAAACTGATTATTGTAAACATAATACATAAATGGTGTAAAGCTTGTTTCTTTCTATGGGAGGTTGATTTGTAGTTTTTGGGTATATTACACATTTAATATCTAAATGATCAATTTTAATCCATTTTAGTACCTAAAATTTTAATTTTTACAAAATCATACATAACATTTAGTTTTTGTTTCATTTTAATACTTACCGTTAAAAACTTAATACGTTTAGTACCTAAACTATCAGTCTTGATCCATTTTAATACCTAAAGTTTCATTTTTTTTCAAAATTTGACATCAAATTTTGAACAGGTGCTGTAATGAACCAAAATTTAAACAAGTAATTTATATATTTTTTTAAATAAAAATATAAAAGGATGAATAGAAACGAAGCAAACCTTGATTTTCTTGAGCAAGTCATAGCCTGTCATGCCGGGCATACAGTAATCTGTAATGACAAGATTCACTTCGACTTCCTGTAAACACTACTAAAACAGAAAGCAAATTTTACAAACCAAAAAAAGAAAAGAAATTGATAAACCAAAAAAAAAGATAAACTATACAATCAGTACTTCAACTTTTAATTTTTTTCAAAATCATATATACCATTTAATTTGTATTTTATTATAGTAACTAAGCTTTCAATTATTTTTAGAAATTAATGTTAAATTTTGAATATGTGTATTCAAAGAAACAAAAACTGAATATTAAATATAATTTTAAAAAAAATAAAAATTTAGATATTAAATCGGGACTAAAATTAATAGTTTAAATACTAAAACGATATTTATTCAAAAAAAAAAAACCAACTTGATGATTTTTAGGAGAAAAAGAGGGCGTATTTGTGTTGATGGTTCCATCATCTTCATGTAAACCCAGAAATTCTAAAGCCTTACTTCCAGAATCAACCGTAGTAACTGTCACACGAATCAAAAACAAAAGTTCAAAACAAACAGAAAACAAAATCAATAAAACTGGAAATTGACGAAGCAAAATTTCCCCATTACCCTGAAACGAAGAGGTTTTAAGTAGCCTTTCGATAAGCTTTCTATCGATGATGCTGTCATCAACGGCCAGAACAAGGAACTCTGAATCTGCTGCCATTCCCATTCCTCCGGTTCGATATCAAAACCAGAAAGCAATGGTGTTGAGAAGGGATTTTCCCCTTTTCTTGAAAGATAAAAGGATTGGGTTTATTGATTTGGTTAAGAAGAGAGCGAAATTGAGAGAGTAGAAAGCAATATCCGACCGAATTCCGTCCAAATGGAAAATTTTGAAGATAGTTGATTTTGAATTGCAGGGAAAGCAACGGTGGAAAAAAAATCACAATGACAAATAGTAAACGAATAAAATAATGAAATGAAGCTAAATGGGATTTTTTTAAGGGAGACAGAATGGGAGAGTGGTCTTAATTTATTTATAATATTAATATATAATAGGGGGAAAATACACATATGGTCCTCCAATTATAAGATAGTACTTTTTAAAGCCATCTGAATGTTAAAAGTTATAAAATTATCCTCTAATTATGAGACGTTGTTTTGTTGAGTTTTTTTATTATTAAAAGTTACAAAATGATCAGCCGACTATTCATTATGTTCCAAATTTTTGTTAAAAATGATGGCTCTATGAGTTGAACGTTACCATGTTGACTGAGATATGATAGTTATTTGAAATTCTGATATTATATTTTATCATATCCCAGTTAGCATGTTAACATCAAGCTCAAACTACCGTCAATTTTTAACGAAAAATGATGAGTTTGGAATATAATGAATAATCGGGTGATCATTTTGTTACTTTTAATAGTGAATGAACTCAATAAAGTAATGTCATATAGTCAGGAGACCATTTTGTAACTTTTAATAGTTGAAAGACTCGGCAAAGTAATGTCCTATAATCAGGGGACAATTTGTGTACTTTGCCATATATAATATATGCTCTCATTCATATTTTCAACAAAGAAAATCAGTGAACACATATGAATGATCATATTTTATTTTAGTATGCTAGTCAATATTTATTTAAATTTTGAACAATGACATTAAAATGAAACAAAAAAAAATTAACGAATGATACTAAAATGAAACAAAAATTAAACTTTAGCTATTATTTTAAAAAAACTGAAAAATTAGATATTAAACAGATAAAAACTGATAGTTTATATACTAAATATTTAATTTACCCTTCAATAAAATTATTGTTAGAGTGAATAGAATAATTACATTTTTAGGGGGCTTAAAATTGATAAGTTGTTTAATTAATTAAAGGGGAAGAAAATGATAAGGTGGGACCCATGAAATCGTGGAAGGAGATACGGATGGATGAGGTGGCATTGGGCAAACCAACTATTGCACCCAATTTATTTTGATTCTCTCCCAAGATTTCCCATTATTAATTCAAATTAAATATAATAGATGTGAATACGAATTAATTTATTTTAATGATTAAAAGAATCGTTGTTATTTTTAGATATCATAAGTTCGAGCACCAGCGATTGAAACAAGGTAATTGAGCATTCATTGTCAAATATTGAGAGTATTTATAACATATACTATTTTGTAATTACTTTAACTTAATAAAAAATATAATGGACGTGAGAGTGAAATTTTCATTTCGTTTTGTTATATTTGTAAATATTAGGATTTAAACGCCCAATTCTATTTAAGGGATATTATGTCGCATCTTATTAGATCAACTGATTGTTAGTATATCATTCCTATTATTGAAAATTGAAAGGATAATACGGTGAAAAAAGAAATTGGTTTATACGGGGTGAAGAAAATATTTTTCAATTAGGGTGAAATGAATAATGTCCGGTGAAATATGTAGGGATCACTTGACATCTTAGTAAAGACCCTTGAAAGACAAGCCGTCTTTCTCAAAGTACATGTAGTTGGAACACCAAGTTAAATGGAGTAACATAACAGAAGATGTGTTTTTCATATATCTTTCCAAAGGCGTTATTATGTTTTCCAGATGTCTTTACAAAGACGTTAGGTATTTCCTACATCTTCTACCGAGCACTGTAACAATCATTTTATATCAAAACATATTTTTCTCCGAGTAACAAAGCATAAGACGTTGCGTCTTCCAAGTATTTTTCCAAAGACGTATTTTTTAGGTATCTTCTCAAAGATATTAGGTATTCTCCACAACTTTTACCGAGCACTACAACAATCACCCCATTAAAAAAACAATTTCCCCGTATACGTGTTTTTTCTTCATCACCCTATTTGATCCATTTTGCCAACTTTCTTTATTTTCCGAAAATATATTACTTAACTTTCTCTTATATTTGACCTGACACCTACATTCCATGTTTGGGTTGACACGAAGTAGAAGAAATAATTCATTTTGATACAATGGTTTGATTAGATTTAAATTGTTTTTTAACTAAAAATTATTTAAATCATTATTATATATTTTTGAAGATAAATTTTTAGAATTTATTTTAATTTTAATAAAATTATAAAATTCAAAAATGGTTTAATCAGGATTTGAAGCCGTTTTTTAATCTGACCAGAGACGTTAGGAAGAATTTTTAAATTTCAAGTCTGACTTGACCCGCATATTATATTAAATATTCATATTTATTATATCTATTTAAAAGTTCATATTATATAATAATCATATTAAAACATTGAAATCTAATTTAATTAACCCTTACCAAAAGCACTAAGTAAGTGATCTTGGTAATAAAAAAATTATTATTATTTCTTAAGGTAAGGAATTTAAACACGAAGAACGTTAGGATGTGAGGGTAAAAAAAATGAATGTTACATTATTATTGGAACTATTAATTGTGTTATTTTTTTTTTCAATTTTTAAGCGCATATATGGGATTTTGGAGGCAATGAAAAGTCCTTGTATATTTTTCATTTCTCAAACTATTTTGCAAGGTAACTCCGGAAGTAGAAAAACTTGAATTTGTCTATTTTGTCGGGATGGTAATTTAATTCGAAATCGATGAGTTTCGATTCGATTCAATCTGATAGGGTATAGTTTTTTTTAAAAGAAGTTCGAATTCAGGTCGGATCAGATTTTTTAAGGGAGTGAGGTCGAGTTGGGTCGGGTATATGTAGAGGGTGAAAAAACTCCGATCCGACCCGAGGAAAGTAATATAATTTCTTTATGAAAAGTTATTATTATTTAAGTTAAATCATTATCTTATTCCGGGTCATGTCGGATTTATAATTTAAAAACTCGGATTGAGTCAGAATCGGTTGGTGGATAAATATTTTTCGAATCGAGTGAATGATATATAATTTTTGGGTCGGGTTTGATTCAAGTGGATGATATATATTTTTCAGGTCGAATCAAGTTGATTAAATTTCTGACTCAACCCGGTCCGTAACCATCCCTCCTTTTGTCCCTCCAAATGTACGGGCTTTTAGAGGTTGTAGGGGATGAACAAGTCATCCTTTGAATCATAAAGGGAAAAAATATAGGAGAGAATAGTGCTTCCCATACTAGCTTTTTTTAGGCAATACCAAAATACATAGTCAAGATGTTGTCAATTCGGTGGAAAATTTCGTGGGTTTTAACAATCCAGTCCATAAACATAGTAATGCAAAGATCAACCATCACATGTCATCACATTATTTGTCGAAAATTTAATTTACCCTAATTGTACGGCCTACTTGTGACTTGGAGAAATCTAACCACAAAATTTATCCCATAAAAATTTCAAAAGAAAAATGAAATTGACACAAAATTTGGAAATTATTTTGTCGGAAGAAAAACAAGTCTTTGGTTCAATCGCTCTTTTTCATTTCATTGATTGAAACGAGAGAGTAAGGTTCATACAATTTGTTTCATACTTGTCTCTATTGTTTTATATAATTACTTTAAGGACAATTTTCTTTCAGGGTAGTGATGATTTTCTTGCATTCGATCATACTTAGTCTCAAATGATCAACGTAAACATAGCTTGTCAATCGTAGCGTACACAAAAGGTTGCACACAATGAACAAAGAAAAAGACAAAGAGCAAAGCGGTGTTCTAAAGGCATGGGAGGCCACCGTGCGCAAAACGCACGCCGCGAAAAAGCGTGCAAACAGTATTTTTGGGACGATAACGATGGCCACTGCGGCGGAGGATGATCTTGAAAATCATCACGATAAAGACAATGTATCCGGGGAGCCGTACTTGGTAGAGAAAATTCTACCCAACGGGGATTATTATACGGGGCAGTGGTACGATAATTTCCCCGAGGGACAAGGGAAGTATCAATGGACCGATGGGTGCATGTACTTGGGGGAGTGGCATAAAGGCAAAACAACAGGGAAAGGACGGTTTAGTTGGCCGTCGGGTGCTACTTACGAAGGCGAGTTCAAAAGTGGATACATCAACGGAATCGGTATATACACAGGACCTAGCAGGGATACATACAAGGGGCAATGGGTGATGAACTTCAAACATGGTCATGGCATGAGGTTCTACCCCAATGGGGATTGGTATGATGGTGAATGGTGCGAAGGTTTGCAAGAGGGGCTTGGGAAATACCAATGGCAAAGCGAAAACCATTACATAGGAGAGTGGAAGAATGGGATGATTTGTGGCAATGGCACTTTTGTATGGGGCAATGGGAACAAATATGATGGCCAATGGGACGAGGGTTGGCCTAAAGGAAATGGGACTTTTTATTGGCCTGATGGGAGTTATTATGTGGGGAATTGGAGCAAAGACCCTGAAGAACATAGTGGGACATATTACCCTTCCGAGTCCTCCGAACCCGGAACCATCGATTGGGATCCTCAGTCAGTGTATACCGAGTTGGCCAATTGTAAGATCTGCCCGAGAGAAAACGTTTCGATCATGCCGTCGCAGAAAGTATTGGCATGGTATACGGCGAAGACTGATGAGAATCCGAGGAGGTTGTCGATCGATGGGAGGGCGAGCCTATGCATGGAAAGGCCGGATAAAATGCACATGTGGGAGAGTGATGATGATAGTAATGACTATGTAGAGCCCAAGAGAGAATTGGAGTCTGAGATCTTATGTATTCAACATCAACATGATGATACAAACCCTAAGTTTAACGCCGAATTGCCATTGAAAGTGCCCAAAATTGGAAAGAGACCAGGAGAAACTATATCTAAAGGGCACAAGAACTACGAACTTATGCTCAATCTACAATTGGGAATCAGGTGCCATTCCCTATATTTTTAAGATATTTTTTTTTATTTTTAGATTGCTTTTAAAGCCAAATTAACTTTCTAAGAACATTATCATCGAATTGTCATTGTGACTTTTATTATTTTATTTGGAGTATGTTGGCCTATAACGTCATATTTTAGCAAAAAGGTCCCTAAAGTCTGACTAAATAATCGCTTTGATCTTTATTTTTTTTGAAATATTTTTGACCCATTTCATTTTAAGGTAAAAAATCTCATATTTTGAACGTTAACCATTTGTTAACTACTATTAAAAAAGGGTAAAGTACACAAATGGTCTCTTGACTATATGACACTGCTTTGTTGAGTCCCCTGACTATTAAAAGTTACAAAATGATCCACGACTATAGGATGTTGCTTTGTTGAGTTCTTCGACTATTAAAAGTTACAAAATGGTCAACCAACTATTCACTATGTTCCAAACTCATTATTTTTCGTTAAAAAATTAACGACAGTTTAAGCTGAATGTTAGTTTATTGTCTAAGATATGATAGTTTTTTTGAGATTTTAGAATCAAATTTTATCATATCTCAGACAAAATATTAACATACAACTCAGAATGCTGTCATTTTTTTAACGGAAAAGGATGAATTCGGAACATAATGAATAGTCGGGTGATTATTTTGTAACTTTTAGTAGTAAGGGGACTCAACAAAGCAACATCTTATAGTTAGGGGACCATTTTGTAATTTTTGATAGTTAGTGACTCAACAAAACAACATCATATAGTAGGGAGATCATTTGTATACTTTACCCTAAAATCGCCAGTTTGTTAACTAAATATTTCCATCAATGGAGGGGCATTTCCCACCCTAAAATAAAACGTTAGAGTCTACAATACTAAAAAAAAAGAACATGAGCAAAAATGATCATTTTAATAATCGCCGGGGCTATTTTTAATATTATGCCTCCATAAAACCTGTCTGCTAACCATGTGCTTAATGAGAGATTACACAGGCATTCTGTGGGAAGGCCTGCACCAGCAACATCTCTTGATCTAAAGGCTGCAGCTTTTGACCCAAAAGAAAAAATTTGGACAAGATTTCCTACAGAAGGCAGCAAGTACACTCCTCCGCACCAGTGTTGTGAATTCAAATGGAAGGACTACTGTCCAGTAGTTTTTAGGTAAGGCAAATTATATCATTTATATTTATATATTTAGTATCTAAACTATCAGTTTTGATCCGTTTTTGTACCTAAACTTTTAATCTTTTCAAAACTTAACGTTAAATTCTAAACGGGATACTAAAATGAAACAAAAACTTTTAACTGCAAGGTACTAAAATGAAACAAAAAATGAAACAAAAACTAAACTTTACATATAGTTTTCAAAAAATTAAAGTTTAGATATTAAAACGAACCACTACTAATAGTTTAGATAGTAAACATGTAATTTACCCATTATTTTTTCATGCTTACATGAATTATTTGTAACTTTGAATTATGATTATGTATGAAGGGCTATGAGGAAGTTGTTCCAGGTGGATCCTGCAGATTACATGATATCAATATGTGGGAATGGTGCTCTTAGAGAACTATCTTCCCCTGGTAAAAGTGGTAGCTTTTTTTACTTGACAGAAGATGATCGATACATGATAAAGACGATGAAGAAGTCGGAAGTGAAAGTAAGTTCATCTACTTTGACACCTATTATTAGCGTATTCACTTCTTATTTTAATCAGATTAACCGATTGAATCAAATTAATTAGGTTAAACGGTCAGTCATCGAAATTAGTTAGGTTAAATAGTTAAGGCAAAAGGGTAACTTTTACCCACTTAATTTATCACTTTCGCCCCTATCGTATTTTGCATAAATTTAACCCTCGAAATATCTCAATTGCATCATTCTATATCTGCTCCTAACTTAAAACCTTAAATTATAAACCTTAAAAACCTCTAAATCATAAACCCTAAATTCTAACTTAAGGTTTATGATCATTTAATGTTTTCAGCTAGTGATATGGTATAGAATGACGCAATTAGATAACATTGAGGGCTAAATTAATGCAAAAATATGAAAGGGACGAAAATAATAAATTGGATCTACTACAGGGACAAATGTGACCCTTAAGTCAACAATTAACTAATTGAATTAATCGAAAATATTAAATGTTTAATGTATTATATATATTAAATACATATTTTAAACTCAAATCTATAAAGAATTAAGATCAAACTATTTTTCAAGACCAAACTTGAATCCATTAATCGGAAGATGGTTTATTGTAATTTGGAATATTTCATATTTTGAATAAATTAGTTTATTCCATTTTAAAAAAAGGCCAAACTATTTTTAAGGGTAAAGCACGTATATGATCCCCGACTATAGGGTGTTGCTTTATTAAGTCCTATAACTATTAAAAGTTGTAAAATGGTCCCCCAATTATAAGATATTTCTATTTTAAGTCACTGTCTATTAAATGTTATAAAATAGTCACCTGACTATTCATTGCGTTCCAAACTCGTCTTTTTTCCGTTAAAAAATGATGACAATTTGAGTTGATCGTTAACCTGTTGACTGATATATGATATAATTTGATCCTAGAATCTCAAATGACTATCATATCCCAGCAGCAAGTTAACATCTATCTCAAATTGCTATAAATTTTTAATGAAAATAACGAGTTTGGAACATAATGAATAGTCAGGTGACAATTTTGTAACTTTTAATAGTAAGGGGTTCAAGAAAGTAACGTCCTATAGTTATGCGGCTATTTTGTAGCTTTTAATACTTGAGAGACTCTATAATGTGATACCCTATTGTTAGGAGATCATTTGTATGCTTTACCATTTTTTAACCAGACCCGTTAAATTGTCAAATTCTAATTAAATTTTAATATAATCAAATTGTTATCGACCGAATTAATCGAACTTTATTCGAATTGGTTAATGATTTAAAAAAAACGTTCAGTTCATTTAACATTTAATTTTTTTAGTTAATTCGATTTTGGGGAATTTGATTCGACCGGGCCGAACCGATGGTTTGAACACCCCTACCATACATAGTTTCAAAGGAATGTTGACCTCATTTTACTATTGATTTGTTGTATAGGTGTTTATAAGGATGCTTTTTGCATACTATAACCATGTTCGAAACTTCGAGAACACATTGGTCATTAAATATTATGGCTTGCACTGCGTGAAGTTAACAGGGCCGATTCAAAGAAAGGTCAGTGAATAACATACAATCCAAGTTCATTTTTGGTGCTACAAATAATAAGGGTAAACTGCATTAGATACTACCTAATTTTAGGTATTGTATCGTTTATACCATTGAACTTTTAATTTTGTCAATTATAGTATTAAACTTTGATTCTCGTTTCAATTATACCATTGAATCGTTAATGGCACGATGACGTGGCTAACGGCCGTCACATAGACACCTAACCAAAAACGATGTTGTTTTGATTTGGTTGTTAAGGATTTAACGGCCCAGTGGTATAGTGGAAATGAAAATCAAAGTTCAGTGCTATCTATAATTGACAAAATTAAAAGTTCATTGGTATAAACAATACAACACCTAAAATTTAGTGGTATCTAGTGTAGTTTACCCTAATAACAATAACGTTGTGATTCTTGTGAGAAGTGAATTTAAGTTGTTTTGAAAGGATGCAATTGATAGGGATGACAAATTTCAGGTACGATTCATAATTATGGGAAACCTTTTACGCTCAGAATATACAATTCACAGACGCTTTGATTTGAAAGGATCTTCTCTCGGACGCATAACAGATAAGTCTGAGTCTGAGATCGACAATACTACCATTCTTAAGGACCTTGATTTGAATTTCATATTCAAACTCCAAAAATCTTGGTTTGACGAGTTTTGCTGGTAAAATTCAGTTTACTCCTCTCTTTTTTAAGGGTAAACCGAAGAAATGGTCAATTTGGTTTGAGTTTTATAAACTTTTCCTCACTACTTCTGTTTTGCTTTAATTAAGATTTGGTCACTTACGTTATCGTTAAAGGTTTAATGGTCGTTAACCTTAAGTGACCACATTTTAAATAAAACAAAACGAAAGTGACCAAATCTAGTTAAAACAAAACGAAAGTGACCAAATCTTATGTTTTTTTAATTTAGTAAGAAAAAAAGTTTATAAAACTCAAACAAAAGCGATCATTTTTGTAGTTTACTTTTTTTTTCTACATGATTTGTTCCACTACTTTCACTTGGATTTAAATAGCGGTCCATTATCGAAATAGTAACTATTATATAGCGGTAAATGTATAGTCTAGAATTGCAATTTCACAATTGTGATACATATAATGACTACAATCACGATAAACACAATCAGGTACGAACATACATATTAGGTGGAGAAACAATTGCCCTCCCAAATTTTGATATTTTAGGTCATTAATGTTTTTAAAATCATTATACTAAACCATTTTCCCTCCCAAAATTTACTGGTTTAATCATTTTTAAGACCCTTTCAGTTTTAAAATGAAATCATGTTTTTATCTCTAACTTTTCTGGTTTAATTTCAATTTTAAAATCAATGGAATCAAAACATAACTCCTTTAAATTTTATGGTTTATTTCGTTTTAAAGACCCTATTTGTTTCAAAGTTAAACAATTTGCCCCTCTCGTAGTTCAATCATGGTTCCATCTCTGAACGCATCTGCGATTTAAATCTCTGACCTTCACCGTAAAGAAACTAATCAAGCATGAATCAAAGAGTAGTTTAGTATTTGGTTTAATCTTTGCTTCATCAACTGCGCTGAATGTTTCAATGGTTTTGCTAACAGGCAAATAGATAGGGATTGTGAGTTTCTTGAACAGGAGAGAACCATGGACTATAGTCTCCTGGTAGGCATTCACTTTAAAGAAATAGGAGCTAATGGAGAGTTAATTCCATGTGGAAGCCCAAGTTCATCTGGTTATCTTCTGTTTTTCACTATTTTCCACTCCAAACTTCCTTTTTCGATTCAAAAGTTTCATTATTTGCCAATATTGTAGGAAATATTGAGAATGAATCAACTCCGCCACCGGAGACGGAGGAGCAGATTCAAGACCCTAAGAGGTAAATAGACACTACAGTTAGCATGCAGGTGGTTGTAGGGAAGGGCACGTGACCCAAATCTGACGAGTTTGATTTTACCCGATTCTATTGAGTCAGAGTTTTTTTTTTAGTTTATATTTAGGTCAGGTCGGGTTAGTTTTTTAGATTATGCATTCGGGTCGAGTCGAGTTCAGTTATAGGGTGAAAAGTACTCGATTCAACTTAACCTAAAAAATAATACAAGTATGCCTCATATATTTATAAATAATTGCAATAATAATCATTTCTATATTATTTTGTTTCAATTAGATCTCTATTTTATCAATAAATTAATATATATATATATATATATATATATATATATATATATATATATATATATATATATATATATATATGTGTCATACGAGTTGGATCGGTTTTAGTTTTAGGGTGAAAATATTTGATCCGACCCAAAATATAATATAATTATACTTTATATGTTTAGGAATAATTACAATAATACTATTTTCTGTATTATTTTTCAATTAAATCTTTATTTTATCAAATAAAATCAAGAATTATATATATATATATATATATATATATATTTGAGTCGGGTCGATTGTAGATTTTATCTAAAAAGGCAAGTCAGATTTCGGGTAAGATGAAGTCACCCTAAACTCGAGTTAGATTGAGTCGGGTTTCAGGTAGAGTGTGTAGTTTATCGGATTAGGTCGAGTCGGTCGGACACTCGACTAAACCCGACCCATGCACATCCCTAATTGCATGCATGTAGGTATGGATTGAGAGGGCTAGTGGTAGTAGTTGATTCAAAAAAATTTAAATTATCATATATTTTAGATATATTTTTATTTATTTTTTTATTGGTAATATATTCTCGTCCCATGAAATTCTATAAATTATTCCTTCTAAAATTCTATAAATTCGTTCTCCTGATGTAGCATCATGCGCTCGTCCTTGATTACAGGTCGGGTGTGATCAAGTTGGGTACGAACATGCCGGCGAGAGTAGAAAGAACCATAAGAAAACCCGAGAGCGTATTCCATTTGGTGGGGGAACAAACAGGGGAGTGTTACGAGGTGATAATGTACTTTGGCATCATCGACATACTTCAAGATTATGACATTACCAAGAGACTGGAGCATGCATATAAGTCCTTCCAGTACGACCCCACTTCTATATCAGCCGTTGATCCAAAGCAGTACTCCAAGCGATTCCGTGACTTCATATTTAAAGTCTTTTGTGAAGATACTTGAACAAGTACCCATGAGTGGGGCTAGATTTAATATTTTTTTTTGTGTGTGGCATATGCCCCAAATTATTGCAATTTTTGTGTAGCCAATATTGTTATCAATACCCTGTTATGTAGCTAAATTTAGCACCAATTAATGGTGTTTGAATTGTTTTTCCACCCACCATTATTTCTTGGATTCAATTAAGAGATTGTCACTCATTTAGTTGAAGTTGCATCCAAAATTGAATCTAACAAGTGATTTTAGTTATAAAAGAAGGGTAAAGTACACAAATGCTTTCCGACTGTATGATATTGCATTTTTCATAACAATTTTTTATAAATAATTAAAAAATTTAAAAATAATTATTACTTTTTTTGTGTGTGGAAAATTTAGATTTTTGTTTAATTTGAAATTACTTTGGAGTCGCCATCGACCTTTGGGTTAGGCAATTGAATACCTAAAAATGTCTTTTAAAACAATTTTAAGAAAAATATTTTTAAAGACAAAAATTGGTTTGCGTATTGTTTGCGTGTTGTGAGTACTATAAAATATACGCAAATAATGTGCAAGTATACACAATCGCTCAAGTAATAAAGTGATGAGTGAGTATCATCTCCATAGGGATTGGAAGGATATTGGGTAAAGTTTATGCACTATTCTATCTAAGTATAGTTAATCTTGATATATACAAATGTAACGATAATGGATATGTGTATGCTGGTGAATGTGGATTGATGGTGTGATGGTGTAGCAAATGGAAATGCAGTGGCAAGAATATATGTTTAGTGTTGAAAATGATGAAATGTCAAGACAATGAAAAATGGTAAAAACAGTAAATAAAAGATAAATAAAATGAAAAGAAGATAATCCTCACGTGACAAGCTTTCAATGGAATGATTGGTAGGGATTGATCTAAGAATGCTAAACTTATCTCTCAGGCAGATTTAAGCTATCTGGTCTTTACTTACTCGACAGGGCTTTCCTAAAATGTTCTCACAAGAACCTAACAGAATAGCATACCAAGGCATCTGCTCTCACTCAATGATGTTGGACAACCTACCCTATTGATAAAGACACCCTTTTTAGTCGTTGAAATCCTATCCTAGTCTCTTCCGAGATCTAAGGGATTAGGTTATAATATTCCTAGGCCGGTTCAAATCCCCTTGAAAATACTATAACCCATTGCTTATGAGGATCTTGCCTTGCGTTTCTTCCGAATACTTACAACTATTTTTAGCTTAGGATTCTTCCGAACACCTAACCTTCATCTAAGAAATGAACATTTTCATGCCTCTTACAAGCCTAGATGGTGAAGCATTCATAAACAAAGCAAATAAAGAACCAAAATAAACTTAAATATACCATTAAAATAAAGTTAAAACATCTATTAAACCAACACCAACAAATAAGTTAGTTCATGGTGGGGTTCGAAATATCCATAGAAAAATCCACAAAATATTCGTTCCAACAACCCACAAATAAAATAAATAAAATAACAGCAAAGGGAAGTGAGAAAGAGCCTTCGACGTGCGCCACTGGAGGTCTCCTCGGCCACCACGAACCGCCTTAGCTCGCTAGCTCCTCTCGGCGCCTAGCTTGCCACTCCTTGAAGCTTTATCAATGGAGGAAAACCCAAGGAAGAAGAAAGGAAAAGGGAAAATAAAAATATGATTTTTCTGCTACAATATGCGTCTCCTTTCTTCCACACACTCTCTCTCTTGTGAGGTGTAATATATAATAAAAATATCTAGGGGTAATGATGATGTTGTTGGGATATTGTTGGGTGCAAAATACCCCTCATACCCCTAGAATCACATGTTGTGCATGAACCTTATCCTCCAGGTGTCAGTGGTCCCCTAACAGGTTGTTACAACCATCATTTCACGTGCAGAGCCAGCTGTCCACGTACAGCTGTATATTTTTGTCGTTTTCTGCGCCAGAAATACCGAGGCATTTCAATCTGCTTCAGCGTGTGATGCCGCGACATTACTTCCCAGCTCGCCTATTTTGCTTGTTGTTTCCTGCACATCACTAAAAACCACACATTCCTCCTCATATAGTACCTTAATAAAATAAAATAACACAACCACCACAAATGCAATTACATGCAGCTACATACATCTAAAATGACTTATATGTACCCTTAAACAAACAATAACTTAAGTCAAAAAGGCCTTAAAAGTAGTCTTTTTACAGAGTTATCACACCCCCAAACTTGAGCTATTGCTTGTCCTCAAGCAATGGATAACAATTAACACAATCAAAATGTCATGGCAATTTCAACAGTAGGACAACAAGACAAAAATTGAATTTCAACCCTCAGAAAAACCGGCTTATGGTAGACATAGCAAGAATTCAAGTACTTTTCCCTAGGTCAAGATTCTTTATGGTGTTGTGTGTGTGATTTATTGTATCTAATCTATACTTAACGTATTTAGGCAATTTCTAATTGAGTTCCCTAGTTTTACCACGACATTAATTCATTCATTAAGCACATTTATACTCCCTTTTCACTTACTACACATTTTTTTAATTATTTTTTTCACTTTTTTTTTACACTGCTACGAAGGGAGTCAGCTCATCACACCTACCATCCCACACTCTAGGTGAAAGGGAGCATACCTTCCACCCCCAAGCTAGTCAGACAGAGTCATCCTGTGACTACTTTCATTCACTCGTATGCGCGTGGCTGCCATTTATTAAAGAGAGTTCCAGGCAATGCCACGGCAAAGAGGAGTGTCCCTCTACAGCTATGCCGAAGCATTTATTCACGATTAAACAAAATTCAGAGATAAGGGAGTTTTTTTTAATTGATTTATCATTTAAGCATAATACCATATTTTAATGCCAAGGCTAACCATAGTTCTTTCATAAAAATTTCGTAAGTTCATTCAGTATAGAGAACATACAAATCATGTAATAATAATTCACAAAGCATCAAGCCCTAGAGTCAGTTCTATCATTCTCAATAGTCATTTACATTCAATTTCTAGCCTAAAAAGTTCATCTTCATCAGGTATCATCAAAACATTTCCATCTAACTGTCCTACCATTTACTGATGCCATGGCATAACATTATGCTAATATTATCATGCACATGTTCTACAAAGAACACTACCTCCCCCAAACTTGAGAGAAGCATTGTCCTCAATGCTGAATAAAAACTAAGTTAAACTAGACTACATGCTATGTGATGCGATGCAATTCCATGCAAGGTACATTGTCTTCCTAAGATGGTGTGGAGTCGCGCTGGCAGTGCTAGTAGTATTGCGTCTGGTGCACTTCCTCAGTGATGTGAGGCTTTTGTCAGGATCAGAACTGGGTTCAGCAGCTGGTGTGCTAGGGCCTTCAGTGTTCTTAGATGTTAAGGTCTCCATACGCCCAACAGATGACTTCAGAAGTCATCTAGTCCATGCTGACTGGGTTAGCATCCTCTGGCTTGGGTGTATTGTCTTGCTGAGTGACATTTACAAATGTCGTGGCATCCTCAAATGATGGCAAGATCTCGTCCAGAATGAATAGAAGGTTATAAGCCCAATGTGGGAGCATATCCTTGTGAACAGGTGCCACGACTGCGTCTTGTTAGAGCCTCAATTGCATCTAGCTTTGTCGTGGCATAATGGTTTGCAGCAGCCTGTGAAGTTCCCTCGTGAGATTTCATCATATTCATCCTTCAAAACACCCTTTGTCCTAAAAAATAATATTAAAATTAAAACTAAAAAAATAAAACAAATAAAAATAAACAAACAAACACTCACGACAAAATAAAACTTCTAAAACATAAATTAAAAAGGGTTCAAGGGATGCAAACTCCAAAATATCATGAATTGTTATGGCATTTTTATCGCGTTCGATTGGAGCACCAGTATAGACCAAAATGCTCCATATATATAACAATGCCACCTTTAGTGTAAGTCGATAGAACCCGATTTGTAAGACCTTTGCAGTAGTCCTCTCTTTTTTCTCCCCGTTGCCGTGAAATCTTTTAATTGCTTGGGCAGCAAATTCGTTCAAGAAGTAGGGGTCATCATCCTGCATCAATCTGTTCTTGCCCTGGCTATTCAAGTAGGGAAGCAAAACACCACTAACGAGAAAATTGACAATGTCAGCGTACCACGACAATGCCGTGGAAAATAATAATTTCTCATCAGGGAATTGTTTCTCCATTTTATTTCTTAGTTCTTTCATAATTTCTAGCCTAGAAAAATGGGCAACTAATTGGGGTTGAGTAAATTCAATGAAATCCTCAGGTTCAGATTTCGTACCTGGTCTAGCTATAAGTAAGCTAGACTGACCCGTCTCCTTTGAAATATCCTTATGCTCATCTTTGTCTTCTTCATCAAGCTTCAAGTAATCACCAGTGCATGCAAAATTGCCGTGGCATGATTCTGCAGATTCCCTTTGGTCATTAACTCCTGTTAGTGGGGGTTTTTCCTTTGCCGTGGCATTATTTTGCCTGCCATCATTGGGTTTACTCATTGAACCTTCAACTTTGTTCTCCAGCGAATGTAAATCCTCTTGCAATTGAGACTCTTCATGCACAATCTCATAGCTAGGTTCTTCGAGTGTTTCCCCCCCAAACTTAGCATCTTTGTAGATCTGGGTGCCACTTCCTGAGGTGAATGTACTAAATTGCTCACTGCCTTTAGCCTTAATGACTTCAGTATCACTAGGCAATCTGTCTAGTTGGTATTCTTGTAATGCCATGGCAATTTGATCCACTTGCATTTCCAAAGCTCTCAAAGAAAAACTATGACTTTGTAACCATGCCCCTTGACTTTGTAATAATTCTTATTGACTCTTAATAGATGCATCGTGATCTTGTAATAAAGCCTTTGTAGTTGCCATAAAGTCTTGCATAGTGGCCTCTAGAGAACTTGTATTAAGTGAAGATGTTGTCCCTTGATTATGCCATGGCATATTCGTTTGAAGGCTGAGGGCTCATCTATATACTGCTCCTGAGCGAGATGACTGACATTACAAGCTCCTTGATTTTCCCATGAGAAATTGGGATGCTGACT